TGGTACATCCATACATATGTACATATTTACATATGCACATACATACATACATACGTCAAGTCTGCTGTCTTTGCAAAGCTATCGGAGACACAATCTGCACATTTATGCTAGAAAGAGACAAAAAAAAGAGTTGCCTTGAAATGAAACAATATGCAACAATATGTACATACACACATACATACATATGTAAGTGGAGTGAAAACCAAGTCCTGCGACTGTTTCGATATTCTGTATTGGAGCTCGTCCAAAAACGGTAAAATTGCGATTTTGTATTGGATTTTATAAATGCGACAACATTTTTTAGAAAGCTTATCGTGCTATGATAAGTCAGAAAAATCGATGTAGTTGCCACAGTATTAATTTTTCTTGTTCTTGTCTAATTTTCTTTTCCAAACAGTTTTTTTTTATACCCGGTACTCGAAGAGGATTTATGTAACGCACAGAAGGAAACGTTTCCGACCCCATAAAGTATTTATATTCTTGATCAGCATCAAAAGCCGAGTCGATTGAGCCATGTCTGTCTTCCCGTCTGTCCGTCTTGTTTGTCGGCTAGTTCTCAGAGACTATTAGAGCTAGCCACCAAATTTTGGCACCGGACTGCTGTATGCTCACACTGAAACCAGTGTATTTCAAAAATTAGCCTGCTCCCTTCCGCCCCCGCAAAAGGAGCATGTTAGTGTGAGTAGTGTTGTTGATGTAGATGACAGATGAAGAAAAAATGTAAAATTTGACAGATAACCGCTAAGGTTCAGATGTTGTACTGAGTGCCGGGTATAAAAGTTGTGACGCGTAAGAAGCGCCTCACACATCCCTTCTCTTTTATCGATCTTCTCTTACGATCTGTAAGGTAGTACCTTGTTTTTTTTATGTGAATTTCTAGTTTGTTTTTAATGATTCCATTTGCAGTTTTGGCCATGACCGAAATCAGTGCTATTGTGCGAAAATTTCTAATATCTATAAGATCTTTATTTTTTTGGGTATAGGTGTAATTTTTATAGAACGCCATTCCATTGGAAAGTCACAATTTGCTATTTTTTGATTATAAAAACCAACTAACGCAGCTTTTGTCTCATTGTTCAAAACATTTAACACTTCATACGTAACTTTATCCAATCCTCCAGCTGTTCTCTTGTTACGGCCAAGAACCTCTTCGAGATCTTCCACAGTGAATTCAGGACTATCGTTATTTTTTTTTGCATACATTGAGTCTAATATTTCTGGCTTCCACAGGTATTTGTTCCTTTAGGTTCCTCCACGCTTCTCTGCTGTTTGAATTTATGTTCATTTCTGTTATTTTACGGTCGTAGCTGGTTTTTTTTGCAATCTTTACTGCAGTTTTTAATAACATCTGCTATTTGCAAATTTTGTCATTTGGGCCCCTGGAAACCATTTCTATCATATTTATTATAAAAAAAAGTACTCAAACGATTTATAATGATAAAATTTCCTTTAAAACATTTAACTTTACAAAAATATTGTTTAATATTGTTTAATAGTAATAGTTGAATCCTATTTATTCAGTTTTTGCCAGTACTCTTTAAATTACAACATTTTATTGCGTCTGCTTCGCGATTGTTGTTGGGCCAGACCTCCAGCAGTGCTGCATGAGTAAACTCATAAACATCGGCAACATTTAAAATTTTGCGAAAAGGGGCAAAAAGGATTAACACCACATGACTTTCCAGTCTTTCACCAAAAGGTCGACCTTTTATTTCCATATTTATACTTTTATTTAAACTTTGAAATCGAGCAAAAATTAATGTTGCAAGTTGCGCAATGTTTTCACAAAATCAGGCGACTTTGAAAGCGCGCAAAAAATGCATGGTACTCCTTAAAAATCTTCTAAAACCAGTTTTATTCTGTATGTTAAGGAATCAGAAAATATAGGTCGCATTCAAATATTTTACTCACAAAAAAATTACATTAATGCCAAAAACTCGGGCTTTTTACCCATGGAGCAATAGAACTGAATACATGTATGTTTTCTGGGGTCAGAACGCATATTGCTCCGACCACATATACAATATACCCTATTTACTCTTTGAGTACCACGTATAAAAAACACGAATACAATTTTTGTAAAATTATAGCCATTTTATAGAGACATCCATGGTCAGACTCATCAGAAACTATATTATATTATATTATATATATATTGCATACATTACATCTACTCTCGCTGAAATCGGAGTTGGAATTAGTCGCTGCGAAAACCCCTTCCCTATCTGTCCCGTGCGAATCGATTGGTTTTTTACAAACATTTCTGGAACGCATAGTTACCCAAAAGCATCCTTAGAACCAGTTGTAAAGGTCGTCCAGAGGTGTAGAGGAATCCGGGAATTTGGAAGTCCGTCTTATTTTGACGTCTTTTTCGACTTCAGAGACTGCGAATTTTGTTTCAGATAAACTCCTGAGGGATAATTAAATTCACAGATAGTTCAAACTTCATTCAAATAAATCTGAATGGAATCGAACACAGTTGAGAGCGATATGGTTTTCAAATTGCGTCGAATAGAATCGACAGAATCGAACTTTTATTTCCTCAAGAAACGAAACCGACTTTTTTGATAGACTTAGTGCATTAAAACTTTTAAATGAATTATGGTTTACATAACTTAAGTATATTAGATTTCGTTGTAAAGAACCATTCTGAAAATTTGTTTGATGTAGCTACAAATTTGACCCAATCGCTTAGCTTTTTATATCCGTACTCAAGGAGTATATTGTATTTGTGGGGAATAACGGATGTTTGTAACACACAGAAGGAAACGTTTCCGACCCCATAAAGTATTTATATTCTTGATCAGCTTCAACTGCCGAGTCGATTGAGCCATGTCCGTCTTTCCGTCCGTCGGTCCGTCTGTACGTTCTTATGAGCGCCTAGTACTCTGAGACCATAAGAGATAGGGCAACCAAGTTTTGCATCCAGACTTCTGTATGCTCACACTGTTACAAGTGTATTTAAAAAATGAGCCCCGCCCTCTTCCGCCCTTACAAAAGGCAAGAGTCTTCTACAGCCACAACTTTAATAAAAACTAACAGATAAAAGAAAACTAAAAACGCAATTCTGTAGGGAATCCTATTGGATCATTAATATAGCCAGAATGAAGAAATTAATTTGCAGTGGCAGTGGTTCAGCAGTTTTTTTTTTGTTTTTTGCACATTCTCTCATCCAGTCTCTGCTTCGTGTAGTGTGCTGCTCTAGGGGAGGGGGGCAAGCTAAAATAGCTTGTTGGCGTGAGAAGTGAGGTAGGAGTAGAAGTAGATGACATTTGTAGAAAAAATGTAAAATGTGGAAAAAATCACTAAGGTACAGCTGGTCCACTGAGTACCAGGTATAACAGTCGTGACGCATAAGAAGCGTCTCACACGTCTATTCTAGTTTAGTTTACCGTCGGGAAATATAAGGCTTTACAATTCACAACTTTTATGATTTTTCTGCGGTATTTTAACACATTGTCGACTTAAAAAATCAGGAAAAGTCGAACAAAAATGATAGCCTGGGTTTTTACATTTTTGTGTATTCGGCGTCGTTTAAAGTATTTAATCATCAAAATCTTGTAACTTACGATGCACGAAGATCCGAAAATCTTCGGTTTTCAGCGATTTTGCAGTTAAACATATTCACAAGGGTCCGTTCTATCCATCTTAATATCAATATCCATCTTTTCTTTTTTTGCTTCAAACCAACACGACTTTTTCCGATATACTGAGGGCTCTCAATTTGCTTAAATATATTTTTTTTCTTTGCGAGAACTTATTTAAACAATTTTTAAGGTCTGGTATTTTTGTAACGGTTTTTTATAGGTGGTGCTTTTTATTCACATAACTTAAGTAACTTACATTTGGTTGTAATGAACTAAAGCTGATAAATGCATCTATGTATAAAGTGTTTCCAAACACTTTGTGGTTTTAGCTTAGCGTTTGAAAAATGTTAAGCTTTGAAATGCAAAAATGTTGATTTTTGTGAGGTATATTTTACGAAACTTAGACTTTACTAACTCAGGAAAAGTCGTAAAAAAATCCTGTGTCCACTATTTTGTATGTACATGTGCCTTACTTGGGCGTCGTTTAGGGTATTGCTTATCAAAATCTATGCAGAGACGTCTGAGCTAAAATTGTTCAACCAACCGTTAAAAAATTCAAAATTCAAAAAATGTACCTGTTGGATTATTTCTGGCTTCTGACTCGAAAAATAGTGAAAAAAATACTCAAATTCAAAATGGTTTTTTGGGGTTGGTTAGGGTTAAATAATAAGATTGGGCTTTGTACAAAATAACTATCTAATATTTCATTCATAAACAAATTTATTCACTTATGTATATATTATATATTCGTACTATAAAACTATAAATAGCAGTCTAAATATAGCTTGTGATCGGTTACATGCATACATATATTCGAAATATTTCCGTGTCAATAAGTTAATTTACAAAATGCAGCTTACTTAAGTGAATTACGCCAGATAACTGACCATCTCTAGACTAAGTTTAAAATTCAAGACACGCAATTTTTTCCTTAAGCTTATAATATACGTGTAATTTTATTCCTTTTAAAAGAAATAAATCAAATGTTTTATAACTTTGTAAAAATTGTGCGGATCGGAAAACACGTCAAGCATGAAATTGCTATCAATATTTTGTTGTGTTTAATACATACATAATTGGAATCCCAACATTTGTCATTCAATATGATGTTTTTATCAAAAATCCGATTTATAGAAACACATCGTGGTTGGCAATCGTTGTAATACTTTTTGGAATGAAATACAAAGCAAAATTAGAGAAATGTCTAATATTATACATATCACATTTTCTAAAACACTATAATAATTTTAAAGTAATTTTAATGGTGTGTGAAAACCCAATTTTTAAATGTATAAGACTATTAGTAGTACTTACTTACACTATTCGAAAAAATTCAACTTTTTATTTACGCTTCGAAGCAAACCGATTTTTTCTGAAAGCTTAGGGCTTTAACTATTTTTAAAGAATTATGGCTTTTTTTCTATAGCTAAACTTTTTTTAAATATGTAAAAAATAACCGGTATTATTATGAAAGTTTTTCTTAGAGGTAGCGCTTTTTCCACATAACTTTTGTATCAGGTTGTAATGAATTTTGTCATTGTAAAAACTAATAAATGCACCAAAAAAGTATACCCAAACACTTTCAGGTTTTAACTTATCGTCTGGGAAATATTCAGCTTTCAAATGAAAGATTAACATTCTTGTGGGGTATTTTCAGGAAAAGTCGAAATGATAAGTTGTCATTAATGGCAAAGTTCATTGGAACCATTTCATTAACTTACGTGGAAAGAATAGAAAAATAGTTTATAAAAAATGTTTTAAAAAGTTCTTATCGGAAACTGGGGTCGGGTAGTGTCATTTTGAAGTTGTATATACAATCCTTACTTAAATTTATGTTCTATTTGAGAATTATACATTCAGTCGTTGAATAGTCTTTAAATGCTGGATAACATGAATTTTGTTAAAGTTCAGAATTTTCTTCGTATGGTTTGCTTAAAAATCGCTACAGCAAGTTTTATTTGTAGAGACCTATTAACTAAAATAAAACTTATTTACGTGTTACGGAGATTTCAACAAAATATTGTATTAACCCAATGTCAATAATAACCTATTTCAGGCGTAGGCGCCAATGCATAATGTTGCATAGGAAGCTCTGTAAATTATGAATATTGCATATTGATATTCATGTCAGCAATTAGATGTATTGTCGCCATCGAGGGTGCACGCAACATTTTCCAATTTCCGGGAAAGGTGCATCTTTCGACAGTTTATGTCCGAATCAAGGGCTTCCATTATCTTTAAAGACAAAATAATAACTTTAAATATAATTACAAATATATAATAGACTTCTTACCTGATCTTTATATTTGGTTATGTAAATGTATAACTCTTTCAAAGCAGAGATACTGTCAAACTCGTCGTTCTGCTGTACTGACAATTGCTGCATAGCTGTACTCATTTCCTGATCACTTATCTGGGGAAGCCGAGCCACGTCTCGGTAAAAATCCTTAACCATAATTCTATAGTTTGGAATATCCTATATGAATGAAATTAACAAAATTTATGATTAGTAAAACTATTTATGTATATTACAGCCAAAATTTTTAGAGTGCTGCTAACGAATGCCGCGTCGCAACACTACGATCCCAAAGAGATTAAATAGCCCTGAAGTACCAGAAGTCAGCGATGACAAATGTCAGCTACGAGTCAAACCAAACTCTTTTTATACCCGGTACTCAAAGAGTAAATAGGGGTAATAGGGGTAAATAGGGGCAAAGAGTATTTGTCTGGAATAACGGTTGTATGTAACGCACAGAAGGAAACGTTTCCGACCCCATAAAGTATATATATTATTGATCAGTATCAATAGCAGAGTCGATGGAGCCATGGCTGTCTGTCAGTCTTGTTTGTCGGATAGTTCTCAGAGACTATAAGAGCTAGAGCTGGACTGCTGTATGCTCACACTGAAACCAGTGTATTTCAAAAATTAGCCCCGTCTCCTTCCGCCCCCGCAAAAGGGCGAAAACTAATTTAAAAGATAGAAAAAACTAAAACGCCATTCCGTAGGGAATGACCATATCTATCAGATCACCAAATTGGGATCCGATTGGATTATTATTATAGCCACAATGAAGAAATTAATTACCAGTGGCTAAACCCACCCCGTCCCACAGCTTATATTTGTTTTTTTTTCACATTCTCTCATTCACACTCTGCTTCGCGCAGACACGTCTCTGCCTCTGCCTCTACCGCGTCTGCCGCGTCTCTGCCCTGACTCTGCAGTGTGTTGTTCTAGGGGAGGTGTTGTTGATGCAGATGACAGATGAATAAAAAATGTAAAATTTGACAAATAACTGCTAAGGTTCAGATGTAGTACTGAGTGCCGGGTATAAAAGTTGAGACGCGTAAGAAGCGTCTCACACATCCCTTCTCGTTCTTTCTTAGTTTCTTTTGTTTCCTCGCGGTGCCTTCGGGTTTGCCGTTGGCGTCGACTACGTATTTACAATAGTGCGGTTAAGAGCGCTTTTGCCCTTTGTGTAAAATATATACATAATGCATTATTATCAGGTAAAATCGGCGTACCTTCTAAATAAATGTATCTCAATTATTTGTGTTTTACACGAAATCTCAGTTTGCAAACAGTCCAGCAACACAAACAAAAAAGAGAAGGGACGTGTGAGACGCTTCTTACGCGTCACATCATTTATACCCGGTACTCAGTACTCTACATCTCAAACATTTGCTCCGTTTAATAATTCGACCCAACAACCCAAAGATTACCAATCATACGCTCAAGTTTCTGCAGGAAATAGTACCTCGAACAAGTCTCTAGAAAGAATAGAACAGCTTCTAGAACAACAATCTCAACTTACCAATAATTTACTTAACATGATAATGTAAATACTTGTAAATAAGCTATGCAAATAAATCGAAGCTGCTGGAATGCCAATGGGCTTTCCAACCATGTAAATGAAATATCTTTATTTTTAAAAACGAATGCCATTGACGTCATGCTTATTTCAGAAACACACTTAACTAGCAAATCTTGTTTTAGAGTTATTGGATACGACACAGTAAGAGCTGACCATACATCATGTAGAGCTCATGGAGGTGCTGCAATTATTGTCAAGCAGGGCCTTATATTTCAAATCATGGACAGTACTATGGAAAACGCTATGCAGGCTGCCACAATTCAGATAAAATGTATGCACTCATACATCATGTACTCACTACCCTGCTGACAAAAGATTATGCAATAAGGCTGCATCTGAGCTTAGACAACTGCTGTTTGCTCGATTTAACTGTTATTCCTCTCTCGCTCTCTAAAGTTTCTGTGCAGTAGCGCACGCTCTCTGCAAGCTGTCGCTGTAGACTATCAAAATGCTCGCGGCTTACGTAGTAAGCTGAGCACTCTTTTTATACCCGGTATAAAATAGGGTATATTGTATTTGTGGGGAATAACGGTTGTACCCCATAAAGTATATATATTCTTGAAAAGCATCAATAGACAGATCCATTTCTGTCTGTCCGTCTTTTTTGTCGGCTAGTTTTCAGAGACTATAAGAGCAAGGCCACCAAATTTAGGCTTCAGACTGCTGGATGCTCACACTCAACCAGTGTATTTCAAAAATTAGCCCCGCCTCCTTCCGGCCCCGCAAAAGGGCGAAAACCTCCCAAAACTACAATTTAAAAGATAGAAAAAACTAAAACGCCATTCCGTAGGGAATGGCCATATCTATCAGATCACCAATTGGGATCCGATTGGATCATTATTATAGCCAGAATGAAGAAATTTATTTACAGTGGCTAAACCCACCCTGTCCCGCAACTTTTGATGTTTTTTTTTCACATTCTCTAATTCACACTCTGCTTCTGTTTCACTCGGCCTCTGCCGTCCCTCTGCCTCTGCCGACTTTTAACCCACCCCGTCCCGCAGTGGGTTTGTGTGTGCGGGCGCTGCCTCTGTCTCTGCCACGAGTCTGCAGTGTGTGGGTCTAGGAAGGGCGGCGAGCTAAAGGAGCGTGTTGGTGTGAGAATTGTTGTAGATGTAGATGAAAGTTAAAGAAAAATTTTAAAATTTGACAAAACACAGTTTCACATTTTCATCCCATGTTATTGTGTTTACCGAAACCTGGTTAAAGCAGGAGATTCTTAGTTCCGAAGTTTTGGCAGATCGGTACACAATTTATAGGAATGACGACGAATCAATATTTATCAAAGATTTGAGGGAAAGAGAATGGACAACAAGATGCAATACTTACTTTTGCAAAAAGCAGCTTATTTGAAGGAGAATCCTTTCCAAGTCGATGCTCTGATGTTGAACATGAGTCCATAAAGGTTTGTGCTATCACACTTAAACAGGAGTCCACACAATATGTCTTATTTACATCAAATATAAAGTCAGGGTTCTTTATAAAATTAACCCAGAATCGCAAAGGTAAGCTATTTGATTTCCATGCGTGAACTATATCAGTATCGGCGATATTATGGCGTCGAGCCGCTTCATCTAGCAGGTCAAAAAGCCATTTCACTGCCGGGGGTAGCTCCTCATTAACAGTAAGAATTATTGAAAAGAAATCATCAACAAATTTTTGTATAGTGCCTTTGGTTGCAAGCAACCGAGTCAAGTATACTTCTGGTATAGTCTTATTCACCCTCTCGTTGGCATTGCTAACGCAATGTGAGGCTTGCGATGCCGACAATGCACCAGACATGGCCGAGTTTTTGATGTTCATATAATGTTCAGGCATAATCGGTTTAACCAGATGATATAGTCGAGGCTGCTGCAGCCCGGACTCGATGTCGTTGTTTATTATAATGTGGCTTTGGGAATTATTTATGAAATAAACTGAAATGAAATGTAGTAAGTTAGTTTGTAAGCCAGAGGCAGAGGCCATTGGAGGGTACTCACAATTGTGGTATGGTGCTGGGTGTTGGTTTTTACTATAGGGTATATGGTAGCTATCATTTTGTCTTACGATAAGTGACATTACCGCAGATTCTTTAACTCCATAATGAGCCAATGTGTTTAGCCGCTTCCAGCCACTTATTGTTTTTGTGGTCAAGTCTTCATCCTGCAAGGTTAGGTGACCCCCACGGCCGTGTCTCCACTCCAAGTCCACTTCGTGAACAGATGGGCGCATGGAAAACGGGGTGTTTTTAAAAATAGCGTCAAGTATTTTCAGCTTGACTTGAGATATGGTATCCCAGTCGTTAACTCTACATTGGACCTTCTCATCGAGATCATCTTGTAGGATATGCAATATTACAATGGAATGAGTAACTTGTTCGTGTAGTAGACGCTCTTCTGAGAGGGAGTATCGCGCATCGTTTGTTATGGCATCCACCAAGCCCTTTTCAATTTGATGCTTAATTGCTTTAAACAACAAAAAGAGACTGGATCCAGTATATTCCCTCAAATAGTCGTACATGCAAATCGCCAGATAATTGGTCAGCATTTTTTCTACAACACTCTCTGTACGACGCAGCATTAGCTGAGGGTGCTTGCTGGTAAGTGATTTGTCAATTAAACGCAATAGAAGCGACTTTAAGATCTCAGTGGCGTATTCCATCTTATTCATTAGAACAACCATAAGCAGCGAAGCCACGTTTACTCGATCACGTATTGAAAACGATGACCGCTGAGCCTCCAAGGTCTCTATAAATATTAGCAGAAAATATTTGTTGCCAATAAGCTGCTCAAACTGTATCATAGCGGCATCATAATTAGTTTGTGGACTGTTTCCACGGAATTTTGGAGAATTTAGAATGGGATGATCCGAAACTCCGGGAAAAAAAACCTTCATTATGTAGTTCACGTGATCAAGAGTTGGTATTCCGCTGCTCTCCAAGTCAGCTGTTAGGTCAGTCATGTCGGTCTGAAGCTCGGCAAATGCCTGCTTGCACTCGGAGCGCACATTGCTTTCCAGTGTTATCATCTGAATCTGAATGCGTTTGTACTCTCGCTCGGCCTGTGTAGACTTTCTCCTAAATATGATAAGTATAATAACCAGAACTATAACAAGGGCGGCCACCGTCAGCATTATGCCGAATAATGCATGAGAAAACGCATATGGTTTGTTTAGATCATACTTTAGGTAGCCAATGACAAAACGCAGATTACGTCCCACTTTAACAACTACTAAAGGCAAATCTTGGGATTGATCCACGCCATTTTCGTCAGTTGGAGAAGGTTGCTGCTGTGGTGGAATGCATAGCAGCTGTGTGAGTGCCAGGCTGGTGATGTTGCATTGCGAAGTGCCGATAGTAACATTCACGTCATACTCGTCAGCCGCTAAATTCAATAGCTCGCCTTCGATGACCAAAGTATCCCCCTTATATAGCTTAACGCCATCGTTAGGAAATGGCAGATACTTTGGATCGGCCATATAAACAATCGTACTGCGAATATCATGAAAATATTTGCTCAAGTCCCGAACCAGTTGCACGTTATCCATTACAAAACTAAGCTGCAGATTTAATTGTGTTTCATGAACTTTAACAAAAGCCGTTACATCCAGGTTATTAGAGGTAAAATAGCTGGACACTGTACCGCCTGTCGAGTAAAATTGAAAGTGATCGGTTATTTGGGCTTTGGCTTTGCGTTTTCGCCTTGCCAATCCACTGTGCCCCGTGACTTCAGTGGTCACCGTAGAGTTCTTCAGACCCGACTCAGAGTCTCTCATTTTGCCGCTATTTTTTAACAACTGGAACTTAAGATTCACTGGTGGAGACGGACACTCCATCTGACTGGAGTTAATGACAACGCAGGAAGTTTTGTTCACCCGCTCATTATCGAAGAAAACCTCCAGCTCTGGCTTTTGAATAGAGTCCAGGTACATGCCGTGCACAGTTAGAACTCGACCGCCACTTATAAAGCTGCGTAGAGGTTTGATTTGCATTATCCGGGGATCCTGGGTATAGTTAAAGATTGAGCATGCTTGTCGTGGCGGGGTGCGGATTTGATAAGAACTAAAGTAGCTACGAGAGGGACTTGTCACCCTATGCTGGTTGCCAAAACTGTTGACTGGATTCTGACAGGTAAACGTTCGGTTAGCGCCGTCTATAACCAGGCGCAGCGAGCGTATCGGCTCGGGCTGTGTAGCCTCTGAGGTAGTGCAGCTGACTTGCGAAGACAGTGCCTGGGACACGTTGACGTGGCACTCATATTCATCTAGAAAAGCGCGAATGTTAGAACCAATGTTCAAGAATTTTCCCATTAGAGACAATTGCGTGCCTCCCGATTTGGGTCCAATCGTTGGGTATAATCCGGTAAGCTGTACGTCCTTGAAGTGAAATTGTACACTTGATTCAGTGTATCCCGCGTCATTAGCCACCTTAATGGGTGCTGACATCTCGTGCACAGCTGCCCCGGTGCGGCATTCAATCTTAACAGATATTTGGTAGTTCACCAGTTCACATGGAACTGAACCTATGGTTATTTTTCCACGCACGTCTTCTTCACGTATTCCCAAATTGCTGCCCTCAATTGTTACCAGAGTGCCACCCTCGACTGGTCCCGATAGCGGTTTTATAATATCAATCCTTGGTCGAGGGCACTCGCTTTGGTTAGCCGTTGCTAACACTGTTTTCAAGGAGCTATCACTGGCTCCGCATGTCTCATTGTATACACACGAGTTACTGCACCAGGCGCAATGATATTTTGGGTCACGAGTTACGCACAAACTGCAGTCCGCGTGGTCTCGATGAGAGCCAAGGACGTCGCACTTATATAGGGTAACCATTGCAGTGTCCACGTAATGCTGAAAGTTCCAAGTGACAACTACTTTAGCCTTGTACTCGTGGGTATTAGTCTCGTAAAAGTAGGGTGTTTTCTCACACACGACTATCCTGTTGGCCTCAATATGCGCTGGCAACAGCATCTGTGCGGCCTCAATATGTATGGTGCATAGGAAACCGGCATGAGCACTTTTTGGCTTTGGCAGGTTTTCAATCTCCAAGCGTATTTCCTGAGGAACACGCACCGGCAAAAGAATTGGCTCACGGGCGCGCTTCAAATGGGGACATTGGGCCACAGCACTGATGGCACTTTCCATATTGCGACACTTCTGCGACTTGTGCACACATTTATTGTCGAAAACACACCAGTTGCAGCCCCAGGAGCTGTGCATGCATTCCTGGCAGTTTGAATGATGTGAACAGTCAAAGAATGCAAACGATCTTGACACAAAGTCCTTGTTTGTTTCCGAGCTGCGCACAGATAGTGGTACCAGGACGTGGTCAACGTTGTTAGGTATTATAGGTCTTTGATCCAGAGGTGGCGTGTCACAAGCCAGGCCATTCTCCAGTATTTCAGCGTCAATGGGAGTGGAGTTGCCAAAGACACAGCGATACTTAGCATTGAATGGCTCCGGTAAAGTGCGAATGATCAGATGCAGCTGCGTCAGCTCAGTAATTGGTATTTTGTCCGGCACAATGGATTCAAAGTCAATGCACTGTTGTCCACTTCCCAGAGAAAGCCATCGCGATGCAGAAGTATCTCTCTGGCAGGTAGATCGTACGGTGCACCGTTTCTCCAAGGAGCACCATCCACAGAAAGGGTCCCGAGACTCCAGGCAGGCGGAACAGTTTGTATAAACAGAGCAATGTTCGATCCTCAGTTTTGTGATCTTTTGCATGGACAGCACATACAGAAAGTCCTTATTTGGCGACATCATAGTGTTTGGTAATATGCGGTTGCCAGCATCCACGATAATTTCTTCATATTCGCCGGGCGCTTGACCGGACAGCAAAACCTTCTTGATAATGCCCGTATCCGTGCCAAGAAAAGCTAGTGAATGTTGTTGATCAGTTGTTGAGGTTGCCGTCACGGACGTGACCGATACATTATCAAAATGGAAGAGGGCGTGGGTCACGATGGGAGACACACCGCTTATCTTTAAACCGACAGAACAGAAGTTGTAAATGTTGCCAAGAGAGCCGACAATCGGACATCTTCCGTCATTTATTGTCCCAGATATATAGCCAAGATTTCGATCTTTGATTGTGCCATTGAAGCACATATGTATATTCTCAATGAAAGTGTCTTCAATGTCCTTTATGCTATATATACACATGGCCGACTTATTTTCCGGCTGATCGCTGATCTCTTTTGAGGGGGAGAAAACTGTTACCAAAACATGATCATCTTTCTTGATTCCCAATTGTTGAGCCAACTTTTGGCTGGCGTGCGTAATCTTAGCATCGCGTAGTATGTTGTAGTCGGAATTGTGTTCGGTGGCCGTACACTGAATTGTTATTTCCGTGTAACTATCGTAGTTCGGATCTGTGATGCATATGCGAGCCAATCGAGTTATGTACCCGGCTTCGTCGGCCAGATGTGATTTCTTCTGAACAAGTAGAAAATATGCATACTCCGACGAATTAAACCCGTATACGTAATCGACCAAAAAATGATCCCGGTATTTGACATCAATATTGATAATTGATTGCTGGATCGAGAACTCTGCATAGTTCAAATCGTCCAGACGACGGGAGGAGATGGCAGGTACGTCATGCCGATAGTCACCAACGTTGGTGAAGGTGGTGCCCACATACAATATATCCTCTTCCTTCCAGGAGTATCGCGCAGGTCCCACGAACGCATATGTCGAAGCAAATTCATCGTTGGCAGCTAATGGCACTGCAATGAACTGCGGTGCGACTGGAAATCGTGGCAAGCTGTATATTTCACAAGCACCTGAAAACAATAGCAAGGAAAGAGTATTACATACCTTTCGGTTACCTGTTACGTATATATTATTTATTTATTTGTATTTAATATTTATTATTATTATATTATTATTATTTATTTATTTATTATTTATTTTAAATATTTTGTTATAAAAATACAAGTCTGTGCCCGTGCAGAACACAATAAAAATAGGAAAACGGAAATGATCCGTTTTAATTGTTAACTCTCAGGATTTCAGCTTGCATCTAAATAAAGTCAACAAAAAATACAAAATTGGGTCTACAAATATTATTGTTTCAATGTATTAGACCTACTCTTTGGGAAAATGTTTTTCCCGATCGATTTTGAAGTTCTAATTTTTTTTTTTTTAATTTTAAGTTGTGTAGACTTCTTTTTTTTAATATCGAACATATCAAAATGTTTTTTTTTGTCTGGTATATACTCAGGCATCCATTGCATATATTCGATGAGAAAAACCGGGACTTTGGAAAGATTAAAAAAAAACGAGATGGGACGTGTGAGACGCTTCTTACGCGTTACAACTTTTATACCCGGCACTCAGTACAACATCTGCACCTTAGCGGTTATTTGTCAAATTTTACATTTTTTTTATCTGTCATCTACATCTACAACACTTCTCACACCAACACGCTCCGTTAGCTCGCCGCCCTTCTCTAGACCCACACACTGCAGACTCGAGGCAGAGGCAGAGGCACCGTCCGCACACAAAAAAAAAACAAATAAAAGCTGCGGGACGGGGTGGGTTAAAAGTCGGAAGAGGCATCGGCAGGGGGAGGGCAGAGGCAGGGGCCGAGTGAAGCAGAAGCAGAGTGTGAATGAGAGAATGTAAAAAGAGCAACAAAAGCTACGGGACAGGTTGGGTTTAGCCACTGGAAATTATTTTCTCCATTGTGGCTATAAGAATGATCCGATCGGATCCCAATTTGGTGATCTGATAGATATGGCCATTCCCTACGGAATGTTTTTAGTTTTTAGTTTTCTCTTATCTTCAAATTTTAGATGTGGGAGGTTTTTGCCCTTTTGCGGGGGCGGAAGGGGGCGGTGCTCATTTTTGAAATACACTGGTTTCAGTGTGAGCATATAGCAGCCTGGAGCCAAAATTTGGTGGCTCTAGCTCTTATAGTCTCTGAGAACTAGCCGAAAAAAAAGACGGACGGACGGACTCGGCTATTAATGCTGATCAAGAATATATATACTTTATGGGGTCGGAAAAGTTTCCTTCTGTGCGTTACATACAACCGTTATTCACACAAATACAATATACCCTATTTACTCTTCGAGTACCGGGTATAAAAACGGGATTTTCCTTTGGCATTTTCGCCCTTTTGGATTATGCGTTGAGTCTCAAAACATGCATTTTTGTTTCGATTAAAACTAACTGTTCTCACTAAAAAGTTAGAGTTTTTTGTTTTACCATTTGGAAAGTTAATACTATAAAGTTGTATGAAAAGTGAACAAATAGTTGGTTTAACGCATTTCTTTATACTTTTTGAGCACATTCGTACAGATGAAACTGCTGTCGATGGTGGCACTGTATATCATATGGCTCTCATGTTAACGATGTATCTGCAAGTCTATGAAAATAAAACAAACTTGGAGATCTTGTATACAGAGATGTTGCTTAGCAGCCTCTCTCTAATTATATGAAGATGCAGATACAGGGCAGGTTAAAAGATAGTTATATATTTATATTATTACCTTGTCGAATGCTACCACATGATATCAGGATGCCATCCTGTGCGTAGCTTACTATTAGAATTTTATTGTAGTTGTTAACGAGGGTGGTCTCCACATCCTCGGGACAGCCACCAGCATGGCATTGTGGAGAGTCGTTCTTGGGACCAGTAACAGCTTCAGACAGAACGCGAAGGTTTTCGTTCAGTTTCAGTATTTTATTAGTTGCGCCAGCGTACAAAACGTTGTGTGTAAAATCATAGCTCAGGTGTGTGAAATAGTTCTTGGATTGTAGATCACCACCTGAACTTAAACTATTTGTGCTGGAGCGGTTGGAAAAATTCGCAGCCGTGGAGGTTGAACTACTCCTGGTTCCCAACCCAGCCGATATCGGAGGCAAGCTGAACTGCGCGACAATGTCATTTGAGGAGAATTTGTCTATAACGTCATCTTGGGTGCACTGCACAGAATTAAGTAATCGCCAGCTTAGAAAATGGATTATACAGAATCCATAAAACACTGATATGGCATCAGTAAGAAACAAGTTTTTCCGCGACAATTTCATTCTGCGGTTTGATCTCTTCTTCGCGTACAAAAAGAATCCTCTTCTCTTTAAATTTGATGACTATTAATCACTAATTCACATTGCATTTGTCATATACTGTTTTCTTGATCAATTTGTATTGGTTAAGGTGTTTAGTTTATATTAGCCTACACAGCATTGGTTCATAAGTATATATAAATATGTACCCATATGTACACACATATACGTATCTGGGAGCCCACTTCGTAAGCAGCCACACTTCGAAACTAGTATAGATCTTTGCATATATCTGTTCTTACGTTCATTTACTTGGAATTAGTTATACATTGTAAATGATCATATTTTTCACTTTTAATATTAGCAACTTTTGTCACTTATACATAACCCACACAATTTACATTGTCAAGAATGTATACATATTTAGAAATATTTTCCAACACTTATTAAAACGATTGTAGTGCAATCGACTAAACATCAAAATCAGTTGGGGTACTTGCGAAAGAAAATCATCAAAAAAGTACTCAGATGCATGGTGAAAATACTAACATGTTTGTAAGTGATGTTACTAATTTCGCCATGCTCAGATGCACATAATGTCTCGTGATAGAAAGTGCTTATATTTCGCTTTGTGCCCAGTATGACCAAAGTGCGAAAAGTGCAGGCTCAAATTCAAATAGGCACAAAAAGGCACTGAGTACTGCCTGGCGTATTCATAAAATATTTGAATTTTTAACCGACCTAACAGTGTACCCGAGAGCCTGCACTTTGCGCACGACCAATAAACAGTCCGAAATAATCTAGAAAGTCAGACGATAGTATTTTGTGGTATCGATAGTATTTGTGTGGTGTTCATAGTAATTGTGTGGTATTCGTTGGTATGTTGCTAGCAGCTCGAAAAATAAATATCTGTTTTAAACAGAGAGTATAGTCCAATCAAAGTGAGGCAACAATGCCACTGAAGTTGAAGATAAATGACCACCGTGCTTCTAAACGAGCTTAAGGCCATCAAACAGCAAAGAAAGGAAACAATTATTATAGATTAATGAGATTATATTGAATATATTTGCATTTTTAATTTGATTAACTTATTTGAACGCCAGTATCATCATGTTGCCAAGACACAGACCCGGCTGGGCTGTTTTAAGTTGTTAATGTTTTAAATTGTTTTCCTTTTGGGATCAATTACTGCTCCACAGATTCGTGCCAAGGGGCGAAGGCGGCGATTTGGACTCAAAACTATCCAATTTTGAATAGGAAGGGTGCTTGGGTGCTTGCTTTACCACTTTGCCACCGGCGAAAATATTCTTTGGCACGGCCTTGCTGCTCCACCAATCAAAAAAAGGTGCAGATGTTATTCCCAAACATGCAAATTCTCTGTCATATTTTCAAACTGCGGAATATGCAAAGGGTTATGGGTTTCCATAAATGTACACATATATATATGAGTTATAATACTCCAATGTATAGACAAACGACCGTTCTGCTTTCTTTCCTGCAGATATGGGTTCAATGTTGTCGGCGCTTATTTCGCTGATTGTCCTCCTCCTCCGATCATGCAAGAGCCACCAATCCCACTAAAAGCAATCTCCTGGATGGATCCATTTAACATTCATGGTTTTATTAACCTTTTATTAAATTTTTACACATTTTCGAAAAGGTAAACAAAACTGCCTCAGAAGTGTAACCGTACGGAATGCAGTTTTCACCTCTGGTCACACTCTGCTGCTAGCAAAACATTGCACATTTTGCTAGCAAGTTTTTTTTTCGATCTGAGTACTAAGCTTTAAGACTAATATTTATAGTCTGGTATTGTTTTAAAGCGTTTAAAGCGTACCAGACTTTAAAAAAGACTCTTTAAAACGAGAAGGGACGTGTGAGACGCTTCTTACGCGGCACAACTTTTATACCCGGCACTCAGTACTACTTCTGCTCCTTAGCGGCGTTTTGTCAAATTTTAAATTTTTTCATCTACATGTACAACACTTCTCACACCAACACGCACTAGACTACACACTAGGCCCACACACTGCAGACTCGCGGCAGAGGCAGAGGCAGCGCCCGCACACAAAAACTAAAAACAAATATAAGCTGCGGGACGGGGTGGGTTAAAAGTCGGCAGAGTCAAAGGCAGAGGGACGGCAGAAGCAGGAGCCGAGTGAAGCAGAATCAGAGTGTTAATGAGAGAATGTGAAAAGAACAACAAAAGCTGCGGGACAGGGTGGGTTTGGCCACTGCAAATATATTTATTTATTATGGCTATAATAATGATCCAATCGGATCCCAAATTGGGAAATTTTCGTATTCTTTTATCTTCAAAATTGTAGAATTGGGAGGCTTTCGCCCTTTTGCGGGGGCGGGGCTTATATTTGAAATACACTTGTAACAGTGTGAGCATACAGAAGTCTGGATGCAACATTTAGTGGCTCTAGCTTTTATGGTCTCTGAGATCCAGGCGCTCAACAAGACGGACGGACGGACCGACAATCTGATCAAGAATATGTATACTTTATGGGGTCGGAAACGTTTCCTTCTGCGTGTTCCATAATTTGTGCACAAATACAATATACCCTATTTACTCTTTGAGTACCGGGTATTAAAAATCCCGATATCTCTCAGAAAAAGTCGGTTTGGTTCAAAGCGGAAAAAAAAATTATGTGAAATACTTTAAAACATTTTTTAAATTTTAACAACTCTTAAATCGCGGATGAGCTTTGTGAGACGCTTTCGAACGCTTCACAACTATTATACCCGGTACGCATTATATACACATGTCTCTACCTCTGTCATCTACATTTTGATATACGCTGCTATTAGTGTGGTACTTATCATAGAAGTCTGGATGCAAAACATGGTAGCCAATAGACAAGACGGACAGACACGCTTCGCTATATAGACTCGTCTATTAATGCTGATCAGAACTATATGTACACATTACTCCGACGACAAATACAAAATACCCTACATTTTTTAGCGAGCGGTTTCGTAAGCCGTTCTCCTGGAAAATACAGAGTCGATGTGAAATTCGCGTGTGGTGCCTCAACATTCGCCAAAATCTCGAAAAGGAACGGTTACCTAAAATCGGCTGGAGCATCATTTATAAGGGTCGTCAAGCGGTTTGTCACCACTTTCTGTCTTTCCATTCGACGTCAGAGAAATGCCCATATCAGGAGGTTTAGTACTTTAACAATTCCAAAACAAATATTATTTACGTCAGACTTTTCTTTTCTATTTAATACGCTTATGGCAGCTATCTGCCATATATTTAACCAATGTTGTCAGCTCCGACTAATACCAAAATTCCTTTAGCAGCAATTTTATTGAACATCAGACTCGCACTTCAATCTTTTCAATTTAATTAAATGTTCATCCCATATTTTGTATGTGTGAACCTAGGTATGTAACAACTAGAAATAATAGTTTTCTACCAAATAAAGTCACGCATGCGCTCTCTCTCCAATCTCTTCAAGAAAGGGTTTTGCAGTCGCGAACAAAATTTATTGCAAATTACTTGGAAGTCTTAATATGTTTAGGTAGGTGTAAAAGCACGAGTATTTTTAATTACAAAAATATGAATACAAGTATGTATTATGGGGAATTAATTCATATCAATGATTTGGAAGACACATTTCAAGATTATATTTATTACCTTAGTGCTGAAAATAATTTCACTTCATCTTTACTTTCATGGATCTATAATTCTTTAGGTATATCTTAAAAAATTAATAGTCCTTTTTTTATCAAATGGCCGTTTCATTATGCTTATTTATAATAGAAAATATAATACTTGAAGATAGTCAATTCATATATAACATGGTTTACATTCATATCTGAACAATATATGTATGTATATTTCAATGTCATATTTTAAAAGAAAATAAGCCAAATATGATTTTAGTGATCTAAGTCACATTTTTAATAATCTCGTTGCTGGACAGCACACTTTTAGTCCCATTCTATATTATGTTTTAGAGCTCTACTGCATCATCTGCAGATATCGATTCTCCTCTAAAAGTGAGCTCAGTGATGTAGTCATATCGTTTATAACCATATTTGTTCCTGCTTGGGGGTGAGTCGAGCTGCTTACGTCCGGCCACACTGGGTTGTTGCTAGAAACTTGCATATTAGTGGTAGAGGTGGTTGCTGCAACATTTACATGACCCGCAACGGCGTTGTTTGTCTGCATCCAGTTTTGACAACTTTGAACATATTCCAGGGTACGTTGGTAAGTCTCTAGATGCATTGAAGTTATATTAATTGGTTGGTTATCAGTTCCAATTTTTGGGCTTATCGCAGGGACACACGTAAGCTGAACATTTTTCAACGAAGGCTTTATTGGGAATTTACTTGGGCTATGCGTTTGTGACCTTATGGTCGGCACTTGGCCAGTAACATTTGTGTTGGTAGATGGTGACATTTGTGACTGGCTTATAACTCCGCATTGAATCTCATTTCCGTTATTGTTTTGATGTTCACTATTCAATAAGCTTATATCATCTGAAGCTAATTGCGTATTTGTAGAAATATCCGTGAGCTCTGGCAAACTCGTCATTGATGAATCAATAATTTGATTCTGGGTTGCTGTTATTGCTTGTTGCTCAAAACACAGTGATGGGAGTTGGGAGAATTGGCCATTATCAAGTCTCTGCAAAAAATTATTGCAGACCGTCTGTGTGGGACGACGGAGTTCAGATGCGATCATCTGATCTCTTTGTGCGTACAATATTTCGAAGGCACGTCCAGCTTGGTGCGCCGCTACTGCTGATATGTCTAGGTTCGAGTCAGGTGCCGCCAGCTGCTGACTTGATACATTTCCAGGCGGACGATCCTGATTATCATTAGCTGACGAGATTTTTGATACGCCAGTTGAGATATCTCTATTTTCATGTTCCTTGCCAGACAACAGCTTATCATCATCTTTGACCAAATTTAGATACTGTAGCATCTCATCTGGTAATATAAGTTCTTCAACTTCATCCAAATTCACCCTTTCATTTGGATGTTGCTCAGGTGCCTTAAGCATGTTCCCAGTCAACACTGAGGCATTGGAACCATCCTGAATTTTTCCGGTATCTTGTCCGGTTCTGAAATCGTTGCGATGCGTGTCGCCAGTGCAGGTTCTATACCTGCTATTGAAGCTACGCATATTTGAGTCATTCAAAGTAACATCAAGCTCTAAGCTAATGTTCGGCAATAATGGCTCGGACTGTCGCCTAGATACACAATTCTGCACCGATTTACCGAATTGTAGCCCTGTTTCATGTCGGTAATTCCCAGAATGCGGAGACTGAATAATATTGGGAGTTGAATAACGCCCACTATTTTGAAAAGGCTTTTCCTGCTGATAGCTGCCAATACCATTTGTACCCTGCAAGCGCTTTAGATTAGTTGCACTTAAATGTGACGACGGAG